GTGAATATTTGCGACAAGAAATGACTCCTAATTTTCGGATGACCGATCCTTTTAATCCAGTCCATATAATGTCTTTTTCGGGAGCAAGAGGAAATGCATTTCAGGTACATCAGTTAGTAGGTATGAGAGGATTAATGTCKGATCCCCAAGGGCAAATGATTGATTTACCCATTCAAAGCAATTTACGCGAAGGACTCTCTTTAACAGAATATATTATTTCTTGTTACGGATCCCGTAAAGGTGTTGTGGATACCGCTATCACTTTTGATACTAGTACACCTTTGCGTGGTTTCTGTTTTCACTTCCGAACATCAGATGCAGGATATCTTACGCACAGACTTGTTGAAGTAGTTCAACACATTGTTGTACATCGAACGGATTGTGGCACCTAATTTTACAAGTATCCATTTTTTAATTTGTGAAATATATTTTTTGAATTAAATCAGGGACGGACCCATAAACTTTTTCAAACGGTGGCACCATATAATTAATATAGTATAATATACATCTAAAATAATTACAAAAAATTTGGTTTTTATAGTATCGATAGGGCTGTAAACGAACAGAACGTTCAACGAACTGTTCGTGACCCGTTCGGCGGGAAGTTCGTTTATGTTCGTTTATTTAATAAATAAACGAACATGAACTATTTTCTTTTGTTCGTTTAGTTAAACGAACGAACATGAACAAGAGTCTYGTTCGTTCATTTATGTTTGTGAACGTTCGTTCATTTACCGTTAATTTATATTCGTTTGTTTATGTTCGTTTATATATTAAGTTTAATATATTATCTTTCATTTATTTACTTTGAATTCAAATAATATTTATTTATGTTCGTTTAGCTCGTTCGTTTATGTTCGTTCATTTACATTCGTTCATGTTTACGAACGAACATAAACGAACACGAACACACATTATTTCTAAACGAACGAACACGAACACAAAGATTTTCGTTCGTTTACCGTTCGTGTTACATTCGTTCATGTTTACGAACGAACATAAACGAACACGAACACACATTATTTCTAAACGAACGAACACGAACACAAAGATTTTCGTTCGTTTACCGTTCGTGTTCGTTCGTTTGTTCAGTTAAGGTAAACGAACGAACATGAACAAGCCTTCGTTCATGTTCGTTCGGTTCGTTTACAGCCCTAAGTACCGATAAACAACTCCTAAACTTGTACCCGACGCGTCTTCATCTTTTGAAAGCGGTCAATATATACCCAAAAATAATTACAAAAAGTACGGTTTTGGTTATTTGGGTTTGGGTTTTAGTTGCACCATTTGGATTTCAGGGAAATACGGTAGCACCTTCTAAAACGATACGGTAGCACCGTTAACAAACCTAAATTTTTTACCCTTCGGCCGCGAAATAATACGGTGGCACGTGCCACCCATGCCACCACATCAGGTCCGCCCATGAATTAAATAATAGTAAACTATAAATTTGGTCCATGTGGTTTATCGAAGTTAATACTTTTCATCGACACAATTCCGAAAACACAAGACGATTATTGTAGTTTGCAAAATTGATCTGGTCTTTTTAATGGGAAAAAAGTCTGAAATGCTCCTTATTAAACGATTGTTAGAGTGAGAGATCAAATCTGGACGCTTTCTCCTAATCACGTTGATCATCTTGTATTTTTAAAACCGTATAGACAAAAGAAAAAGTGTTACTTTTGACAAACGGTACTTCATGCATAAAAAATGATTTTTAAAAATTTTTATCAAAAATTTTATAATATAGTATAGATATTATATTATTTTCAAAATCTTAAATTATTTTAAATATATCAAAAATATAAAAAAATTAAAAAATAAAAAGAAGCATATTTAGGTATTTTGTTGAATTTGGTCATAGAATGTCGGCAAAAAGGGTGCCTCCAAAACAAGCCGTAGTTCAGAGGGTTAATCATATCCTTTGTTTTGTGTTGTATTTTTCATTCTTTTATAATTATATTATTTTAACTATCAATTATGTATACGTTATGTGAGACACACTGTGTATTATATGAGATAATTTGAAAAAATTAAATCATGTTAGTAACTTATCTTACAAATATGAATGATCATCGAAAATACAATGTTACTTTAGTCTTGTACTATTGAAATAACTCTGAAGTATAACTCTTCAAACTTGAATTTAGAAATAAAACTATATCAATAATGAGTTAAAATGAAGTTAACCCTAGTATTAAATTAAATTTAAAAATGAAACTATATCAATAAATTGAATTTAAACTTAGAAGTAAACACCATTTTTTTTCAGGAATCAGTTACCACACGAATTAATTAACAAAAAAATAAAATCAATTGCATCCTAAATTAGTAGGATTGGTTGAATAAGAGGACACATGTCAATCAAATGAATATAATTGAACTATTAATGTAAACTGTGTCTACATACGTTCAAATGAGTCTAATTGAACCACTAATGTATATTGTATTTAGATACATGCTTAGGCGAGAAAATAAGACAACCGACTCACCAGAAGATGATACATGTCACCCAAGTTACTTATTTATTAGATGTATATATATATATATATATATATATATATATATATATATATATAAAGTTGGGTTCACGTGAGACTAATCTGTTTTCGTGAGACTATTTTCTTACACTTGAAACTTCACAGCAAAACACTATAAAGGTAAAAGAAGTCGAACACTCACAACAAAAACACTATGAAAGTTACTTTCACAAAGTTTTGCTGTAAAGTTTCAAGTGTAAAAAGTGGTTTCACGGGTCTCACGAAAACAGGCTGGTCTCAACCAGATGCAAAATCCAGTGTTAGATATTGTGGTTCTTTTTTCGTCCCAGAAATACCGTGTGGAGCATGATTACGAGGCAGATACGCACCGCATCAATATCTGATATATCTTTATTATTTAAGTCGATTAATTTATTTCTAAAATGCTCGACTTTAGTATTATCATGTTTGATCCTTTTACCAAACAATCTTGTACTAATAATGGTATGATACAATATGACGAGCAAAGATCCGACCCAAATCAGAAACCCATGATCAAGCAGAACTCATGTCTGCTGATCCGTAAATGGAATCCTCCAACACGATAATATATTTCTTCAGATTGAAAAGGAAAAGAGGGATCCTCTTATTGCACCATCCCATTAATTAAGAAGAAATCTAAATAGTAGTTAGATACATCTAACCATGGGCCGAAACATGTATCTCGTAACATGTTGACCACCTTTGATTATTTGATAATATATCATTTATTTTTTTATTATTATTGAGGTCTGGGCCCCTCAACGTCAGTAACGACTGGTAGAACACCTATCAAAACTAAATTCAAAAATTAAATGTTAGGGACTCAAATGGTCATTGACCTCAAAGTCAAAGTTCGATACTTGATATCTCAAAATGACCATACTACAAAACAAATTTTCTCCATCCATGAAGACAATACGGCACACCATCTACAAACAGCTTGATATTAACTAAGCATCCCAAAAGTTACACATAAACCCATATGCAAACCCCCGCCAAATCCTTCAACTCGAGGATACTGAAACAGAAAATATTGCTACTTTAATAACTGGGATGTCACACAAATTTAGTACCACACCATCAAACGTGCACTGGCTTTTCAAGCTGAAATCCCGAAATCCAAAATCAACCATAAGTCGTTTGACGGTCCCTACTCTCAGTGACTCTCTTAGTCCGTAATTACAACATCCTCTATAAAAGGGGTTTAAATCTATGGGTTTAGCGAGTTCAAGGTTTTCAAGTACAAGAGTCAACACATATGCCAACCCTACGTTTTAAATGGTGTATCAAACGTAAAATCTTAATAACCATTACACCCACGCACAACAAATTACTACCACGACTACTGGGTAATCGTGCAAAGAGGCCACAAATGCCACACACATAAAACCAAACCGAAAGTTGGATGTTTGTTGCCCTAAAACAATGACGACAACAAACAAAAGTATGCTCCATAAAACATTTCAAACATAACATTACAGTCTCAACGTACACTTGCTCATGCCTTGAATGTAAATCAATTCTTGCACTGTACAAAAAAATGAGCTCGTAAAAAACTCAAGGGAAAACTATAACGACAGAGTGCTATAGAAAAATCTTCACATCTAACAACAAAATCACATAAGAAAAATTCTCAATAACACATTTGTATGCAATGCAATCGGGTAATCATGTATATTCAAAATTTAACTCAGTTCTCTCCTATACGTCAAATTGAAATTCATGATTCATGTATACTGATAAACTCTCTCACTCTACATGTTTCTCTCACTACCTTCTCTCTCTAGAATGTAACAAATGAATAGCACGTTAAGATCTAACTACAAACTATTGTTAACAAGTTATTTATATGATTGACTAAACATACAAGTCAAAGTACAATTAAACACAATGTTGACTTTAAGCTTTGACCTTCCCATCTTCAACAATTGTCTTCAGAAACGGTGATCTGGGATACAATAATATTTTGACCTAACAATCTCCTCTTTTGTATTCGAGATCACAGTTCAACAAATATCAACACTCTAACAATCTCCTTCTTTGAAGACGAGCATACTTTGTCAACGAAACATATCTTCAGCTTTGAAACAATCTTTCCCTTTGTATTCAAGCAGCAATTACAGTCTTTGGATTAAAATCTGCATATTGAGTCGATCTTTAGAATCTTCAATAGTCATCAAATCTTCAAATATTTCTTTTGAATCAACATGTAATGTCTTTCACCAAGATACAAAATTATTCAGAAAGATTTAGAATCATTAAAAAAAACAGATTTTTTTGTCAAATAAAATAAATAAATAAATAAAACTTTTCTCAAAATTCCCATTACCTTTCCATCTTTTTAGAACACCATGTAAAGTGGCCGTGGGATCCATTTGTGGGATCTGGAACTATAAATTCTTGGAGAGATTTGAACATCCCTTCTTCTGCAACGATCGAACATAAGTTAGCTGCAAAGACCAACCGAGAAGAAACACTCGATGAAAATATATGTCACCCATTTCGTTTTATGCCCCTTTTCCTCCACTAAATCCATTGGAGGAACTCCTGTGAAACACACACGAGACCCAACGGCGAATGCTGAGATTGACTGGCTCCGATACGAGAAGGGAACCGAGAATTAAGGGGTTGTTTTTGTGTCTCAAGTAATTTGTGGACAAATGTCACCGGGTTTTATGGGGATTTCACCATTCGTGGATGGGATTCTTCCTTCGTTTCAACGTCATAATCATCTATCTTCCTCGATTACTTCCACTAACCCCAATGCTGGTGTTCTGAATCCCGATTATGAACACAAACCATCATCATAATCTAATACCCAACTCACAATTGTTGAAGATTTCCATCCTTCTGCACTTAAGACGATCAGGCGCATCGATTTTCCACCCTAATCCTCTGTTCCTATGGATCCTCTCAAAAGGGTCTCTATCTGTTGCAGATTTTCTGTCATTGGCCTTGATGATTCGTTTTGTTTTTGTTTTTGTTCTTGATTAAACACATAAATTAGATTAATATGTATCATGGTCAAATTTATTGAATACTTGACGATTGCAATTTCGTGATAATAGATGGATACATATATTTGGACTTTTTGGTTAGGAGGGGTCTATGTATCTGATATCTATATGATCACTGTCATCTTCATAAGTACAGTACAAATCCATATTTTTGTTGATCCATTTGTTCATTTGCTATGACTAATCCCATCATACATGAATTTGATGTTGCATGCCCCTATCTTTTAGCCATTATATTTGCTTAAGAGTTGGTCCTATTTATATATTCTCTAGCCCAAATGGACCTTCTGAGATTTCTGGATGTCTTTTAGGATGCAAAGATCCTACTTGTATCAACCCCATTTGTGATAACAACATGATGTTTTGGAAACTATTAGTGTTTTGCCTGCGAGAAGTGTTAGAGGCTCCTTCTGTTTATATGATCATTTCAATCATAAAAACAACCATAGTGATCTCGGACCTGTTAGTTTTTGCCTTGGGAAAAATGTTGAGGCTATAATCATAAACTTTTGGTGCGTTTAGGTGCGGATATATGCTTGGGCTATATGAATTTAGAAATTATGTTTACAACGTACGTAGCATGTGATCTTTGTCGTTGTTGAAACGTATGCTTCTTTTTCTTATGTGATTGTTCTTATTTCCAAAAAAGATTATGCTTGAAGCTAGTGTGTTTAAACATGCAAATTAAAGGACATTCTTTTTCTTATGTTATTATTTTTATCAGTAAGCACTTGCTACAAATTTCTTTAGTAAACAACCATTTTCAGTCACCGTTTACCCAGACCGCACTCTTACCTGGTTGGTGCTTACCCAATTTGTCAAAATACCGTTATTTTGTCATTATCATCTCTGTATGTATGACTGCAAGCCTCTTTGTCTCGTGGGACGGAGGTAAGGTCTGTATACATCTCGTGGGTCTGTATTTTATCTATGAATGCAACATGCTGCTGCTTTCTTTTACTAGGATTATGTTTCTTTGTGGAAGTCATGCAGAGCAGTTGACCGTAATCAAATACTTGTTCTTGTTGTTCTTTACTCAGCTCGAAGCAGAGTTCTTCACAGAGTATGGAGAGGCAAGTAGATACCAAGTTCAAGAAGTTATTGGTAAAGGCAGTTATGGTGTTGTAGGATCTGCTACTGATACGCTCACAGGAGAAAGGGTTGCCATTAAGAAGATTAATGATGTTTTTGATCATGTTTCTGATGCCACAAGAATTCTTAGAGAAATTAAGCTTCTTCGATTGCTGAGGCATCCGGATATTGTAGAAATTAGGCATATTATGCTTCCTCCATCTAGAAGAGAGTTTAGGGACATTTATGTAGTTTTTGAATTGATGGAGTCTGACCTTCACCAGGTTATTAGGGCAAATGATGATCTCACACCCGAACATTATCAGTTTTTCTTGTACCAGCTTCTTCGTGGACTAAAGTATATTCACTCAGGTACCTAGGTTGTTTTCTAGCAATACCATCCATACTTGCTGCTGCTGCTCGTGTGTGTGTGTGTGTGTATATAGGGGAGATTCATTTAGGAACCTTAAATTTAGGAACTTAGGAACCACTTATTTTGTGAGTATTCGTGATGAATATTATTCGTCATGAATATCTGTCACGACATTCATCATGAATATTACGTTCACCCAATATAAGGATGCCTTTGCTTTTTCTCATGTTCTATGAAAAGGGGTTGTTCTCACCAGAACCCAATCAACTCTATATATATGATTATGATATTCATATAATTTTTGCAGCAAATGTGTTTCATCGAGATTTAAAGCCCAAAAACATTCTTGCTAATGCTGACTGTAAATTGAAGATTTGTGACTTTGGTCTTGCACGGGTATCATTTAACGATGCACCATCAGCCATATTCTGGACGGTATGTATGTCTTCATTGTGCACTGTCCCCTTTTGTAACCAACGTTTTCTAGTTACATTACATCTTTTGATTAATGCAGGATTATGTTGCAACTCGGTGGTATCGTGCTCCTGAACTCTGTGGCTCCTTTTTCTCTAAAGTATGATGTCTGCAATCTGCAATTTTCTTATAACATGTGTTTGTGTGGTGTTTATTAATGGCAAATGCTAAGATGGTCTCTATTGCAGTATACTCCTGCCATTGATATTTGGAGCATTGGATGCATATTTGCAGAGATGCTTACAGGGAAACCTTTGTTTCCTGGAAAGAATGTGGTACATCAGTTGGATCTCATGACTGATTTGCTTGGCACTCCTCCTCCCGAGTCTATTGCAAGGGTTAGCTCTCTTGTTTTATAGATATATATATATGTGTGTGTGTGTGTGTATGTCATGCGCGATAATGGTTTGCCTGTTGGTTGATTAGCTTCTATGGGTCAGTGAGCGGTTTGAGTTTTAAAACATTACATTTACATATAAGTGGTGAGAATGAAATTGAACTGTGGTTGGAAACTGATTTTACTTGAAAATAAAAGCTCATCTGAAAATATGCAGATTCGCAATGAGAAGGCAAGAAGGTATCTCAATAGTATGCGGAAAAAACAGCCAGTTCCTTTCGCCCACAAATTTCCTAACGCAGATCCTTTGGCTCTTCGCCTACTTGAACGCCTACTTTCATTTGATCCCAAAGACCGACCATCAGCTGAAGAGGTATGCTTGACCATTGAGGTTTATGACTTTTTATACGTGAAAGGAAACAACTCTGATATATATATATATGTGTGTGTGTGTGTGTGTGTGTGTGTGTGTGTGTATATATATTTGTACCAGAGTCCCACATTGGATACTTACAAACAACCAACCTGTACAAATGTAGGGAAAGATTCAATGTGGTTTCATAGGGCAAGTTCGTTAGGAACCTAAAATTGATTAGAAACTCGGGAACCGTCCACAGTGTGACACGTGGCATATTCATCCGGAATATGGGCGTGTTATTTGTGTGATTCATGATGAATCCGAAGAGGGACACATGGTGTGTTGTGGCCGGTTCCCAGGTTCCTAATCAATTGTTGGTTCCTAACAGAACTTCCCTCGGGTTTCATATATCCTAACAATTTGCTTTCTTTTGTAGTCACTAGCCGATCCTTACTTTAATGGCTTGTCAAATGTGGACCGAGAACCATCCACTCAGACCATATCAAAACTTGAATTCGAGTTTGAGAGGAGGAAATTGGGAAAAGATGATGTTAGAGAGTTGATCTATCGAGAGGTCTGCCTAGCTATCACTTAACTTTTATCATAATCATGATCGCGTTGATATTGTTTTTTTTATGAATCGTCTTGGTATATATAACCAGATCTTGGAGTATCATCCTCAAATGCTTCAGGAATACTTGCGTGGTGGTGAACAAACTAGCTTCTTGTACCCGAGGTCATATATACACTTACTGTTTACGGTCATTTCCGTTCAATTTAATCAAATTAACTGGCATGAACGGTTGTAACATTTCTTTTGGATACGGATACCCATTGAATCATCGTGTTGTTATTTCTTTTTAGTGGGGTTGATCGATTTAAACGGCAATTCGCACATCTTGAGGAGGGTTATGGTAAAGGCGGAAGTAGTAGCAAGACTCCACTTCTAAGGCAACATGCCTCACTTCCAAGGCAAGTTACTTTGTTTACTAGTCTTGGTTCTTCTTCCATTTTCACTCACTTTTGCACAAACTGGGGGTCTTTCATGGAAACAACTGTTATACCCTTTGGGATAAAGGACAAATGTGTGTATATCTCACCTCCAAGAACCTGCTTTGAGTCGGATATACTGGGTTCGTTTCGTTTGGTTTGGCAAGTCAGTAGGGGATTTTAATATATTATGTCTTCAATCCAGGGAGCGCGTGCCTGCACCGAAGGAGGAAGGTACTTCTGAAGAAAACGAGTTGGAAAAACGAACTTCGGAATATGTTGCTTCGACACTTGATAGTCCCGAAGGACCAGAAAATTCAAATGCACAAAATGGAGTTAATAAAGGAAACTACAGTGCTCGTAGCTTGTTAAAGAGTGCGAGTATTAGCGCTTCCAAGTGTATAGGAGTGAAAGGAACACAACCTACGGAGGTAACTTCAATTTCTCAGTATTTCATGTTAGTTTATTTTCTTGGTTAATTGTGGGTGTCCGGACCAGTTTTGCAAGCACCTCGACTAATCCCGTGGGGACCTGGAAATAACAGCCAGGAAAATCCCTAGTAACCTTGAGAATACTTGAATATTTGTTTGTTGTCGTCTATTTATGTTCAACGTTAAATCGAGTATTGCAATTTTAAGGGTTCTGAGTATATCAAATGGGAATTCGGTGAGGACCCTTTGGTCCCTTGTCATTTGTGGGTCGGGTTGAAACAGTATGTTGACGATTTGCAATCATATATATTGACTAGGGGTGCTCGTCGGTTGAAATCCGATGGATTTAGGTGGATCAAATCTGATCCAATCATCCATTGTATGTTGGATTTTGTCATCCGATACAGTCCAACTAATATTGGACATCCAATCCAATCCATTGATGATTGGATCGGTTCGGTTCCATTCATTTTGATATTATTATTGGTTATTCATTGGATCATATTGATCCAATTTTCAACTAATTAATGATATATTTCTTAAGTTATTAAAAAATAATGCATAAAAATATCAACAAAAGAACAATATCGTAAAATATTAATAATTATATATAATTATTAATTGGATGGTAGTTGGATGATAAATTTTTTTTTGATTAACCTGGATATCCAACCCACTATGCGAGCTCACTAATCCCAGGGCAACCACCTGCTTTGCAGATAGCCCAGGGTCACCGCATTTGAACCTCCATGGCCACAAGGGGATTTTTATTCCTCCTTGGATTTGAACTTGGACCTCCTGGTACTTTTGACCTTTGGAGCCAAGCTTAAACCAATCAGGCACCACCCTTGTGGTTTAGTTGGATGATAATTGGATAGGCATTGGATGGTCAACGGATTGGATCGGTTCGGTTTTATTGGATGATGGACCGCCAACCAAGAACCGACCAATCCAATTTGGATGTTGAAATTTTGCATCCAATCCGATCCAATTACAATTGGATATCAGATTATGGTGGGTCGGTTCTAATTGAATTGGTCAGTCCTATTTGGATCAGATGACTTTCTGCACACCCTTAATACCGACCATTCATGTTGACTTTTGTAGGAAGAAGCGGATGACGACCAACAAAAAGAGCAGTAATCTTTCGTTCCAAGGGTGCAAAGACGAAGATATTTGTTACATACTAAAATGTAAAAAAAAAAGGTAAATTTCATACACAATTGATCTAATTTGGCATGTTCTTCTTTCTGCAAGTAATTTAAAGGAGAAACTGTATATTCTGTCTTCAATTAGCATTTGCAGAACTAATTTTGTCCAATTTCTGGTGATTGCTTGATCCTTAATTAATCATCAACTTTTATAATCTCAAATGTTTGTATTGTCTGATCATACCAATCACAAAGTGGCTGAGGAATTAACCACAAGGGTGGTGTCTGATTGGTTTGAGCTTGGCTCCAAAGGTCAAAAGTACCAGAAGGTCCCTGGTTCAAATCCAAAGAGGAATAAAAATCCCCTTGTGGCCACGGAGGTTCAAATGTGGTGACTCCGGGCTATCTATAAAGCAGGTGGTCGCCATGGGATTAGTCAGCTCGCGTAGTGGGTTGGATATCCAGGTTAATAAAAAAAAAGTGGTTGAGGAACCCAATGGTCATATGTCTGGTGGTGTCTGGATTATTGGTAGATCCCAACCTTTTCTTACGGAAGGGTGTCTTAGCCTGTGCTTGAACTAATCTTGATAAATTGTGACTGCAAGAAATCGGCTCTGATAAATTCAGTGGCCACAATTGTTGTGTACGTCTGAAATCGAGTCATCGGCAAATGGGATCGCTTCCCCTGGGATTTCAACCACGAGCTACAACCGACGTGGTTTAGATCCCAACTTTCTTAGAGGTTATGGGTTCAATTATCGGCAAAGATAAAAGGAGTGTGAGTTTTGCCGTATATAAATATTATATACTTCAAAAACACAAAGTGGTTGAGATACGAAAGGTCATTGGCCCAGTTATCTGGATTATTGGTAGACCCCAACCTTCCTGGAGGTCATGGGTTCAAGTCTCAATTAATAAAAGGAGTGTGAATTTTGCCTTATATAAATATTATATCTATACTATATTATAAAATATTTGATAAAAACTTTTAAAAACCATTTTTTATGCATGAAGTACTGTATATTGATGCATATTACTTAAAATTCAAGATTACAAGTAAATTATGTATAAGTACAACTTATTAAAGTTTCATGTTTGAATTCGTGTAACTAACCGTGGATAAACATAATCAAATAGAGGATAAATATCTCATTTTAAAATAAAAAAGTCTAAAATATAATTAGGATAATTATCGAGTTATAACAAAATAATTAATTATTATCTTTATAAGAAAATTATATTATTAAACCAAATATAAATTATTTTCGTTATTGAACCTAAATTAAATTATAATAAAAAAAATTGAATTAAAAAATTACACAAAATATAAGAATTTTAAATAGTTAATTTGATATTAATATCGATATATTTTTGTCAAATTTTTATGATACTTCAAGTTTATAGTTTATTCAAAAATAAAAACATTATCATTTTTTTCAAAATCACATAAGATCATACTATGACATCGACTGAGATAAAGAATAAAATGAAATATTAAAATCAAGATGTATCTCACTGCATAGCATGAGTAACCTTCTAGTACTTTAAAAACACATAGTGCCTAAGAAACCAAAAGGGTCGTTGGCTCGGTGGTATCTGGGTTTTGGGTAGATCCCAACCTTCCTGGAGGTCATGGATTCAAGTCTCAACAAAGATAAAGAGTGGGTTTTGCCGTGTATAAATATTACATACATCAAAAACATAAAGTGGCCAAGAAACCAAAGGGTCATTGGTCCATTGATGTTCGGGTTATCGGTAGGTCCTAACCTTTTCGGAGGTCAAGGGTTCAAGTAATTATCGTTGTGGGAAAATGGATGTGTACGTATACATGGGGTTGAGTTATGGTGAGTAGCGAAAACAACCCCTTTTTGTGAGAAGGTGAGTAATGGTGTCATTTATATCGTATGATTTTATCACATTCTCACGAAAATGAAAATCTCTTATATGATCCCGACTTTGCGTATGAAATGTGATAACATGTTTTTTAGAGGATGCAACCCGTTAAGGCGTAAACTTGAAGGTCCATTTTGCAAATACTGGAAACATGGAGGATTTAAATGCATTAAAATGAGGACACTCAAGTCAATATATTAAAAACTACAAGTCAAAAGTATTAAAAACATAAAGTTAAGAACAATGATTTATTTAAAAGAAAACACGTTATGTAAGTTTATACCTCACACATATGTGAAATACGCGTTCTAAGCACAGATCATTGGTATTGGATGTATCGTTAGGTTGTGCCGAGTCAAATCTGCTCCGATCCCACAAATAAATTCTAAACAGTTCTAAAAAATTGTTTTAGACTGAAACGAAAATTTACAGTTATGTCTGCTTTTTTTGAGTAGAAAAAAGATCTGTATACGTTTTTTCTAACTGTTGCGTCTCCTTGAATTTGAGCAATGGACTCGTTGACGTTTGATTTACGTATGAAAAAGAAATCTCCAATCGGGTTTAGGGGCGTATGGTTTGTTTTCGTTGTATTTCCACCTCTGCTAGACTTGTATAATTTTTCAACGATATATGTTGGAACATATGCTCTCTCATCAAGGGTTCTTTTTTGGAGAATAATCTAATGAGGTCCCACATATACTCGCATGATAGCAAAAAACATGACTCGACACCCTGAAACAATATATGTCCGTTTAGCTTCTGTTGGAGGGGGCGTGTTAGAGTTCCATATCGGTTAAATTTAACAGTTTATTCTTCAATATACGTGGAAAAACCCTTATTGCCGTAAGAGCTTTTTTGAAGAGTAATCTAGTAGGGTTCTACATGCATTGACATGATATCAGAATCAAAGTCTATCACTCAGGATGATCTTTGTCCTTCTAGCACCCTTTGGACACCTTCGGGATGTTGGAATTTCACATTGATCAGATTTGGACCATTTATCCTCAGCGTTGGAACCTCCATTCTCTCCTCCATGACTCTTTTAAAAAGTAATCTAATAAAGTTCTACATGTTTTCACAATTTTTTGATCTATTTCATCTGCTCTGGTGCCCATAACATATCCTTTCGTAAGCTGTTTTTTAAGGTAACTTAAATTCTTAAAAACCATTTATTATTATAACATTTTAAGAGCTACATTGAGTGTTCGTCTTGTTATTTGAACATTAAACGGATGTTAGAATCTGTCATATATCATTGCAAAAGTCATCAGCAATCGTAAAGTATTAAACGGACATTTATGGATAACGTGACCAGATTCATTGCTCCTTTTACGTTTCTCATGTTTCTCGTAAAAAATTAGCATTTCTTTCGAACCCGACCCTAAATCAAAGTTTATAGACCAAAATCAAAGTTTAGAAATTCAAGTAAATGACTATTGATATGTGAAAAATAAAATATAATTCAAATATTACAAAACAAATGTTGTATTTTTTATTACTAAGAGAACGTTTACCAAATGATTACTCGGGTAAGTGCTTACTAAGTCACATTTCTTTAACGGATGAATATGGCAATAACCAAAAATCTTACTTGATAAAAGCGAAAGCATGGACCGAGAGTCTTACCCGGTAAGTAATGGTCACGACTCTTACCACGGTTAGCGCTTACCTGGTAAATTGTTACATATGATATCGTTTTGTAGACTAAAGTCTTGATAAGTAAGCGATAGGATTGAATTTTACTGTTATATCTGATAAATGTTTAAATAATTGTCCCTAACTCTGAATAAACAATATTATATTTGGGGATTTGGGTATGATCAGTTCAATAAAATTCATTATTTTTTCCTCCCTATTTAGTATAATAGAATTTTTATGTAAAGTTTGAATTTTTTTTATTTCATATACATCGTTCTTGTGATATTTAATAAAAACTTATAAAAAATAAAAACTGAGGAACATTTTGGTAATTGTTTATCTGAACGGTATGTATATGTGCATACAACTAACTTGTAAGCAATTTGTCCGGTATGCACACGTGCATAAAAAAAAAACTACAGTTACTTGTATGCACACGTGCATATCATCAAGATGAATGGTTATCAGGGTGTTCCCTGAAAAAAATGAAAAACTGAAAAACATTCTAGTAAACATTCATCTGGATTTTGGTTTTGTACATGTTATGCAGATGTGCATATGCATGTTACAAATTACTTGTATGCACATGTACATATCGTTTATATGAACGACTATAAGGTGTTTCTCAGTTTTTTTTTTTTTTTTTTTGTGGTTTTCCCCTAAACCTGACCTTACATACACACATACATATGTAGGTGGTAAGTTCAAATAAAAACCACAACTTATTTTGTAAACATGAGGACAAATCTTGACCATTGATCAAAATTTAGAAACTTAATCAATGGTTAAAACATAAAAAAAGTTAATTGAGAAGTGATTAGAGGCAAAAATGAAACTTAGTATTTATGCCTACTATATTTAACCTTTTATTTTCCTTCTTAGTTAAAAAACTTTTACCCCTTAATTTTTAAACTAAATTACCTTAAAAAAATTAATATTTTAATCAAACAAATTACATCAAGAAATCGAGCATTTAATTCTTTTCGATTTGACATCTATCTTCTCGATATAGTTTTTTCTTATTTTATGTTTTTTACATCAAATAGTATATTTGTGTGATATTCATTATGAATATTTATACATGCTTATATGTTTACAACTCTTTAATATTCATAGATTAATATGATATTCATGATGAATATATAACTAAATTAGCATTCATCATGAATAAGTATGTATTTCCACGTGTATTCAACTAATCTTCAGTATTTATACATCACTATGACATTCATGGTTAATATACATTTTCATTATAACATTCATCATGAATATACGTTTTATTTTTAACATTGATCGTGAATATACACGCACACACACTCATATATATATATATATATATATGTGTGTGTGTGTGTGTGTGTGTGTGTTCACGTATATATAGTAACTCTTCAGTATTCATACATCAATATAACACGTACTATTCATCATAAATATTTATATATGTTCACATGTGTACAACAATTTTTCAATATTCATACATCAGTATGATATTCGTCATTAATATACATTTTCACTGTAACATTCATTATGAATATACATATTATTCATTA